GGGAAGGAACAACCACATGTATCAGTACAGGCTGGGGGATGACATGCTGGAGAGGAGCTCTGATGAAAAGGACCTGGGGGTCCTGGTGGATGACAGGTTGACCATGAGCCAGCACTGTGCCCTCGTGGCCAAGAGGGCTAATGGGATCCTGGCGTGCATTAAAAGGAGCATGGCCAGCAGGTCAAGGGAGGTGATCCTCCCCCTCTACTCTGCCCTGGTCAGACCTCACCTGGAGTACTGTGTCCAGTTCTGGGCTCCCCGTTACAAGAAAGACAGGGATCTCCTGGAAAGAGTCCATCGGAGGGCCACAAAGATGATACAGGGCCTGGAGCATCTTCCCTGTGAGGAAAGGCTGAGAAACCTGGGTCTGTTCAGCCTGGAGAAGAGCAGACTGAGAGGGGATCTCCTCAATATATATAAATATCTGAGGGGTGGGGGACAGAAGGATGTAGCCAACCTCTTCTCAGTGGTTTGTGGGGATAGGACAAGGGGCAATGGCCACAAGATAGAGCACAGGAAGTTCCGCACTGACATGCGAAAGTACTTCTTCACGGTGAGGGTGACGGAGCATTGGAACAGGCTGCCCAGGGAGGTTGTGGAGTCTCCTTCTCTGGAGATATTCAAGGCCAGTCTGGACGCCTACCTGGGCAGCCTGCTCTCAGGAACCTGCTTTGGCAGGGAGGTTGGACCCAATGATCTTTCGAGGTCCCTTCCAACCCCTACAGTTCTGTGATTCTGTGAAAAGCATTTCTGTTTACAGGCTATGCTACCACATCAAACACAAACACACCATTTTTGTCTGGGTCCTGAAAAGAAACAAATGTAATTCAAATGGAAAAGGTTTCTATAAAATCTTCATGTACAACAGATGTACCAAGCTTCTGCCAGAAATGTGTCAGCTATGTTCTTATACAAACCCCTGCTTAAAAACGAAAAAAAAAAAAAAAAAAAAAAAAAAGTAAATACAGAGAAAAGTTCTCATTCTTCTCTCCAAATGATTTATTGCTGTCAGAGCTCTAATCTAATTTTAGGTGAGCTCATCTTTTTTTCTGCCCTGGAGCCATTTTAACTTAATATTGCTCTCCTTCCAGAACCATGAGAGAATACAGACACCCTTAGCTACTACAGATGCTGTACTGACATTTTACTTCTTCTGCTTGCTGTAAAAGTCATCAATATCACTCTGCTCCTGCAGAGACCTTTTCTAAGAAAAATGAAAACAAATTGCTTGGCATTACATCAAACTTTGACCTCTGCAGCCCGAAGTGGGAAAACCAAAATCTGAACTCCTTGCTGATGCACAGAGTTGAAAGCTTGCAAGAGCTCCTCTGAGCAGGCAAATTTTATTTTAATAAAATCATTGTCTAAGCTTTTCCATGATGATGCTGCCTCCCTGTTCACACCTCCATAGGAGCCACTGAGCAGGTACTGCATGGGTTCCTGTGGGCTTGCCTGTGCTGCAGCTGTCCTTTCTACAGCAGCAGCGAGCAGCACCAGGTCTTCAGGGAAACCATTTCTCCACTCATCTTTTCCATCTGCCTCATTCCCAGCTGTTGCCCCTTTCCATCCTGAATATTCTTGACCTTCACTCTCTTTTACAGGCTCTATTCTCCTTAACATCTCCATTCTCCTGCCCCTAGTTATCTCTGGCACAAGCACAGCCTGCTTTGTGCCATCCTGGAGCATGGTAGGGAAAAAGCAGTCTCAAACACTCTGTGATTCCTGTTTTCCACTCAAGTACAAGTTTCTAGGAAGGTTTAGAAGTGTCTTCCTTCTTCCCTTCCTCCCTCCCTCCTTCCCTCTTTTCCTCCTTCATTTTCCTGTCCTGGTTTCTGAAGGGAAAAAAAAAAGTGCTTACCCTGCCACTTTTCCTTGAACCCTCATAGTAACTTTCTGAGCTCAAAGTTGGTAGCACAATGAAAATCTATATTGGTTCAGCTAAAATATTATTTATGCAGATATTCAATAACTCTATCAGGCTTGATGAAGAGATGGAAACTGCAAAGATATGGTGTTTCTGATGCTTAATAAAATCAGTGACTTGAAGGAGAAGAGGCATGTCCAAGCTCCTTTCCGCTACTGACACAAGGCTGCAGCATGAGCTAGCAGTTATTGCTCTATGCGGGTGCCACCACTCCCTCTGCTGCAGTGCCAAAACACCATCTCCTGCCCAGCAAGAAGTGGGTGTGAGAAGAAGCTGAGAATGTGGCATCAAAGGGGTACTGAAAGAGATGAGGATTACTGCAGGTTGTACTGAGGCCACAAGGCACATGGAGCAAAATGTGTGGGGAGGCTGACAGGATGTGTGATGGGAAGAAAAGCAGATTCTGTGACACTGGGTGGAAAACTACCTGAAATCATCACCAAATCACTCCTTTGGTGTCTCAGTGCTCACAGAGAACATCCTGCAGCAAGTCTGTTGCATAAATAATACGCTTTCCTATATATATATATATATATATTTTTTTTTATATATATATATATTTCATATATATATATATATATTATTTTGATATAAATTATACAATGTTTTGGAAAGCTAATTATTTTCCAAACACCAAGGTATGCAGTGGTACATAAATTCAAAATGATCATTCCATCTTCTTCCAAGTGTCTGACTATGACCATGAACATTACAACCTAAACAGTCCACAGACCCAAGGTGCTCCTGACACTCTCCAATTCCTGTCCCAGGAACAGTTTTTGACATTGCAAAGTTGTATTGGTTCAGCTAAAACATTATTTATGCAGATACTCAATAACTTCATTGACTCTGGTCAAAATTGCAAGTTAAGTGCTTGCAAACAGAAGAGGGGGAGGAGGGAGGATGGGGAATGGTACTGAACAAAACACCAGAAATGAAGGGTGAAATTCACTTCACTGTAAAAGGTGTAGTTCCTCTTCTTGGAGGTATGGGGCTGTGTTGAACCCCATCAGCAGCCACAACCTGATGGGACATGGAGAATAACATCTCCATTCTGGTGCACCTACTATAAGGTGACCCAACTCAGGAGCCTATCCTCATGACTTCACCCTTGCACCATACCTCAAGAAAGACAACCTGTAGGAACCTCCAAACTGCTTCCTGGCATGCCTATCACATGCTCAGACAAGGGTTATTTGAAAGGATTTATCTGAGTCCAAAGGAATGAAGCAGCTTGAGGAATTTGTTCCCAGTCAAGTCTCAAGATCTGAGAATAGCTAAATGCTTACAAAGGCCACACCAGGGAGTCTAAATCATAGTCACAATGTTTTTATTTTAAAACTAGATAAGAATAATGTTTCAAATTAAGCAGGCAGCTGAAAGAACGAATTGCAGGAAAATGCCAATGCTCTAGAGATTTTACAGTCTTCTTGACTAATATTTTCCAAACATATGTGGAAAATGATGCAGTAAACACAGAAACAAAATTAGTATTTGCATCTTTGCACTGTCTGCACTCAAACGTAATGGCTACCATGCTACTACGTATCTTTAAAATTAAGACTTCCTCAAGATTAAATAGCTGAATTGTCTCCAGAACATCACTTAAGTATTTCAGATCATCTTTTTTGCACTTCATTTACCATAATCCCCACTATGCTATCGATGTAACATTAAACTGATAAATATGCTTTTATAATAACACAGCAGAGTCAGATGTCTTATAAATTGATTTACACTTAGGTTCAAAGATCCAGTATATTGAGGTAATAAATATGGTGCCAGACTGCAAGGCAGGAGAAGCTAGAAGAGACAGATGACCTTTGTACAATATCTCACCTCCTTCTCTCTCAGGAATGTAGAAATACAAAGTTATGAAAGCAGACGCTGTTAGCCACCACTGACACTGACCAGACCAACACCAATTTTATTAAAGCATAGATCAGCATTTTTATTTATTTATTTTTTTAAAGTAATCAATTGCTTAGTTATAGCTGTTCGTTGTGTCTTTGCTTTCCTGCCTGCCTGAGAGAACACGAATAAAATTGCCAGCAGTTACATTACAAAGACAGGGTAACAGACTGGATGACCCCATAAGTCTTGTTTGCTTCTTCTGTCTGGGCTCTTGACTTGCATCTTAAAAGGTTTTTGTATCAATGCCTTTGCAGGAACATGCTTTGCTATTCTGAAGACTTTCTTTTAAACCCAGACAGAAAGATGAATGCTTTATCCTACCCTGCATGTCTGTAATTGCAGGCCCTACTGGGAAACAACACCCCCTCCTCGGGGTTACTGTTTGAGACACTCTATGATGGAAAGTGTGCTCCAAAGGAATAGACAACCAACGACTTAAACAAAACCCTCCAAAACCAAATGAGCTGTTTATTCACCAGAAATGCAAGGATCCTTTCACAAGCACAGCCCTTGTCCTCCCCAACATGCAGCCACCCAACTCTATGTCCCTCTTACTCTGGTGTCATCAGGAGTAGCATGCCACAGCAGGAAAAGAGACCGGTTCACTGTGAGACCTGCTACTCACTCTCTTACAGTGTAACGGCCCCCCTTCCAGCCGCACATCCCTGTGAGTACTGGTCCCTCCGGCTGCCAACCACATGGGCCACCGCACGGCTCCCTAGGCTCAGGTAAAGCAGAAGGTGGTGGAGCACAACCATGACAAAACACAGAACTGGACCAGTCTGCAGTGCTGCAAACCTCTGGCACAGAACCGAAACATGTCTTGTTTTACAAATGATTTGAGAGTTTGCATGATGAAGGACAAAATTGCATGTAGATGGTTTGACTGCTCATGTTCTCTCTGTGCCTGTTATGTGGCGCACTGACACTGAGGACATGGCACTGCATGCAGGACAGCAGTGGTGGAGAATGCAATCTCCATTCTTCCACTGCTTGGTACCTCCAACAGTTTCCCAATCTTTCATTTTAATCATATTTTCAAAGAAAACAATAATCAGCTTTCTCCTATACTGTTCAAATTCAAAAATAAAACACAACCAATAGGTTTCACCAGTAAAATGTACTGTGAGTAGCTGAAGAAATGAGTAGCAGATATAAATACCTGCTTGCTGTGCAGCCTGTGGGATTTGTTGACTCCTCTGTGCATTGTACTGAATTGAGGCAATGGGTCTGTACTGCTGAGTTGTTGAGGTAGGGTACTGACCAGATGGGTAATAATACACTGACATCTGCAAAGAGAGAGAGAGAACAGCAGCTAACTACAAAATCAAAAACTCAAAGACTTCAAAGACTTACAAAACCAAAACGGAAAAGGAGCAAGAGTTAAAATAAAGCATATTGGTAACAGTTATCAAGAGGAGAGACTTGCTTCATGGCTCTTCAAGCTCTGCTGCTTGTATTCAGATTTGCTAGGAAAAGGGTTGTTACCAAATTCACTCGCAGATGCTTTCAGAAACAGAAAAAAGTTTTACTTAGAAGAGGAACATACAGAATGCATAAAAAAAACCTACACCTGTATACTAAAGAAATCATAGCAAGTATCAAATGCTGCAGAAAAATGGATGCAAACAACGCCTTCCATTATCAACATAATATGCATAGACAGTGTACTGAACCACCAAGTGAACTCTGGAGGAAATGATTAGTATGAAGCAAAGAATAGCCTGAAGTAAAAAATATAGATAGGTGAGAGAGAGAGGGGGAAAGATAGAATCCATATGCCTATAATTCTTGTATGAAACTATTATTAAATTCCCACTTTTAATAGCTACATTCTTCCTTACATGAACGTTTCCCCATAAAGCTCGTTTTGCATTTAGTGTGCAAAAACAATCGTAGTTTTTTTCTTGCAGGAGCTAAAGGAAGGCATTGATTCAGCAAGTTCTGCAAGGTGGGCTTCTTTTTTTTCTGTTATTATTACTATAGAACAATTCATTCTACATCACCTTATGGTGTAGCTGAATGTGAAGTTTGAAGGCAAATGAAGCTAAGGATTTTTCCTGTACATGCTCTATCACCATTACTGAGAAATCTGTGCTAAACAGTTTTCAACTGACCCTTAGCAAGTTCAGAACACTCAGAATTTTTCATTTTCATCCACAGTTGATTCTCCAGCTAATTTACAAAGTTCAGAAGCTTATGGTACCAACAAACTGCAGAGGAACACGGGCTTTAATGATATTTCTCATGACTTCTGCCAAGTCTGTCAACATTTCTTTAAAAATCATTAAATAACTTTCCTTGCACATATCATTTATCCTACTCAGACACATCCATGAAACTATACAAATGCTTTTGTTTTTTTCTTACAAAACGTAGAACCATTTTTGCTACTTTTATGTATACGTAGAGAATGCTCCTGTAAGAGTTCATTCGTTCTGATTACCCATCAAGGAAAGAATTAATTGAGTAAAGGTAACTGTATTATTTTGTATACCGAGAGAACATTGTAAAAGAGATCAGAATTTTTCCTAGATATTTTGTCAGATGAAAGAAATTTTGTCAGAAAGAGAAAAAGTACAGATTAAAAAAAAATAGAGGAGAAAAGGGCATGCATGGCTAATTGGGCAAGCAAATGACTAATGAATAAGCGTGGTAGAAAAGGTATCAGAATCAACATAATTGGATCAGTTGATATTGGTGAAGAGAACACCCCCAAACAGGCTGACAATCAATATCACCTGTCAGTCAAGAGGTTGAATACCCATTCATTTTGCAAGGCTTATTAATTTTCTCTTGAATTGATGGAAATCACGTAGCTCACATAGCTCCCCCTCCTTCATTCCTCCCCATACCCGATAGTATCAGATAGGTTCAAACCAATATGAAAAAGACAAGAATGTTTTGATTGGAAAATGCTGTTAGCTATTCTTCCTCATGAGGACACCAGGTGAGACCTAATGGCTGTAACCTGTCCTTGAGTCATTTGTTTTCTTAGAGACTATAGTAACAAAATCAAAATGCCTTGTAAAGTGGACAAAAATTAAAAAAAAAAACACATTAAGTTTGTGTCTGTGCAAAGAAAACCCAGGAAAGTAGACACAGACATTTAGGGTGCAAATCTACTCTTTAAACATCATAGCAGTGTAAATAATGGATCAGGACAGTTTAGTGTCATAAACTCATGTGGAAACCTGACTGCTCTCAGCAAGACTCTACAATAACAGACTTGAAGGAGGTGAGAGGACTCAAGCTAAGTCAAGAAATATAGCTGATCCTGTCTGGGAGCAGAGGAACAGATTAGATATAATCTATGTTGTTGTTGTTATCATCATCATCATCATCTTAATCTCCCTTAAAAAATTTAAATTTATTTGATTTACCCTCCACTTCCTCATTTTCCTTGTGCAGACAAGACTCTAGATATTTGAAAACATGCAAGTATGTGTGAATTCTCTCTTGTGGGAGGAGTGTGTAACAATAAACTTTAAAACATAGCCTAAAGAGCAGAAATTTTGAAGTATAGTTTTGAGGTTTAGTAGTTGAACATGCACTTGTACTGAAACATTCCAGGTGTATTTGGATTTTACTATTTTTTTTCATCACATGTTAACTTTTCAGAATTAGTCAAAAGGTTTTCTCTCATTTTCTGAATTCACTGTAATGTAATACATTTTTTATACACACCATTTAAAACCTTATCAGAGTGCAATCTATCACCATGAAAAATGTTAGTGGTAGGAATATTGGGTAAAAAATCATTCAATTTCAAAAGATTAATGGATGAACTTGCTACTAATCACACACACACATCTTGCAAAGAAGAGATCAGACATTAAAAGAATGGCTTGGTGTAAAATATAGACATGGATAAAATAGGTCTTTGGTGATTGGGGTCTGGAAGGCTTCATTTTCATTTATCTTGAGTACATCTATATTTCAATAGGCGAGACATTATTTGTCCTTTTTGATATTACTTAGTGAACAGTGAAATTAGAAGGACTGCAAGTAACAAGTACTGCTCACATTGTCCCCTCTGACCCTCCTGAATTTTTCAGTTTCTCATTACATCAGCATTACTAATATCTCGCTTACATGCTCTCTAACAAAAAACACTATTTCTGTTGAAGCCTACAGAAATGCCAAATTACATTTGAATTGCTTTCCTATGTGAATGCACAGTCTAATCCTGGACCTTTAGATAGTATAACATTTACAGAACTAACAAGTTTTCACTACACTAACGAGCATGCCAACACAATTATTTGATTATCCTAAAAAAAAAACCTGCCCGTCTGAGACCATAACCTAGATGCCACCTTCTTTAGCCTAAAGACATTACTTTATGATTTTAATCACTGACATGATAAAAAATCCCCCCTCTGCACTAATTACCCTGAAAATATTTGACAGATGATCCTTTCTGTCTGGGATATTCTTATTTTGAAGGTGAATCTCCTCTTTGTTTGGAGGCTGACCATTCCAACATATCTCTATTTTATCTATATTAAAAAAAAAAAATTAAGTTAAACTGCAACAGGATTGGGTACATCACTTTCACTTTAAAGACACTCATTGCATGAACTGCCATTACTTTTTCTTCCTTTTACCATGCTTTGTCCCTAAGTGATGGGCAAGGAGTCATTTTGCACTGGCTTTCTACTTTTTTCTGTCCACATACAGTGAAAATGCATCATCATCCCAGGTGTCTCTCAGATGCTCTCTAACAGCCTTCATTAAATTTACACTGTTTATCTCTTCATTGTAGGAATACAATTCTACACATCCTTCAGACTCATTTTTATTTTCCTAGCTTATCTCTCTACTGACTTACAACTTGATTCTGTCATCACACAGGTATTCTACCTTCTCTTAATATTGCTGACATCTAGTTATGTTTGAATTAACACCTTCATCCAGATGATTAATGATTCTGACTCTATTGCTAATGGCAGCTACAGTTATATAAAACGGGAGCGAAGACAACAGAAACCACAATAATGTACTGAAACGTGAAGGTACATTTCTTCCCGATATCATTACTGACTGTACTGAGTCTTTCATCAAGGATTTCTTTCTTCCCCTTATCCTCCATGACAATTATAATAGCAGTAACAAAACAATAACAGCCTGTGTACAACACATGCGGGTATATCTTCCCATACCATTGCATCAGATCATCAAGAAAAGACCACCCACATGCAGGACTTCTGCCTCCAAATTAACACCCCAACCTTTTTTCATGTCTTCTACGGGAGACATGTTACGAATAAAGATTTTGTCTTACAATACCTATGGATTCTCTAGGAAGGAAGTTCTACAAAGAGCCATCTCAAAGTAATGACACATAGTTAACTCAGGTGAAAAATCCCTCAACATGCATTACTTCTCCCAGCCTCTCCAAGAATTCATGCCATCTCATTTCTGGACATCATTTTGCCCTTTCACAAACTTTCATAAAGAGTGAGTCAGAGGTGGAGATAAGTTTTAAATGAGTATATGCTGCCTTCTCGTTGTCATATGTACTTGCCGTTTTCTCATTTCTTCATTTGCAGAGGCAGAAACTAGAAGCACCAAATGCTGAGCAACGACAAGCACCAATGAGAGAATGCTGTCAGAAACTGTTGTGGACCTTTACTGAAGTGTTTGAGCCCATAAATGCTACTGCAGAAATATAAAAAAGAGAAGAAAACTGAGAAAGTGAAGATGTTCCCTACGTGTGATACAGAAAGCAAACAAGAATTTGCTGCTCAAAGTCCCTTTCAGAAAACCCAGGAAAAGGTGTTTTTTGTTTGTTTGTTTGTTTGTTTGTTTTTCTTCCCAATTAGCTGAACAAAGAGAACACTATTTTCGGGTTATTAAATCATGACTGTTGTTAAGCTGTGGAACAGCTAAAGTGGCAAAAGAAGTGTAAGAGGTCCTCTCACCACTTCTTAGGCATGCCCTTCCAAACTCCGTGTGTTGCTACTTTGATACATCAACTTGGAGAGCAGTTGTAGAGACATATTTAATTGAACTTTAATACAAAAGCTAATACTTTAATGTAGTACCTTTGGGTTTGAAGGCTTGGAGAGCTTTTCTTACTCAATTTTTCAGCTCCCAAAAGAAAAGTTCATACTGTATACAGGACTTCTATACAAATGTTCATGGCTCTCCTATCTTCCAACAGCATAGATGGCCCCACAGCCAATCTACTAGAACCTTATCAGCAATGCATTTACGGGAACTAATTAGCCATTAGCGTCTAGCCTCTCTTTCACTGGTATAAATTCAATAGGAACATTTAAGATATAAAAGTTGTTTTACATTGATTACTTTGCACTGATTAATGCATCACAATGTTTTGTGGGCATTGCTATCTTTATTGGTTTTCTGGTTTTAAGCCTTTCTCAGACTATCTGCTTTGGCATCTGAAACCAGCCTAGTATCGTATCTAAATCCAAAAGAGTAACAAGGGATTCAGACTGGCAGTAACCAGTGCCACAGAGAAGTTTTGCCATGGTCAGGGGAGGGCATTATGGTCTAGCTGCCGTGCCCAGTAAGTTGAACTGGTAAAGCTTGTACAGGCAGTCGGAACAGAGGAATTACTATTTCATAGAATCATAGAATCATAGAATACCCTGAGTTGGAAGGGACCCTTAAGGATCATCAAGTCCAACTCTTGACACCGCACAGGTCTACCCAAGCTCAGACCATGTGACTAAGTGCACAGTCCAATCTCTTCTTAAATTCAGTCAGGCTCGGTGCAGTGACCACTTCCCTGGGGAGCCTGTTCCAGTGTGCAACCACTCTCTCTGTGAAGAACCCCCTCCTGATGTCAAGCCTAAACTTCCCCTGCCTCAGCTTAACCCCGTTCCCGCGGGTCCTGTCGCTGGTGTTAATGGAGAAAAGGTCTCCTGCCTCTCGACACCCCCTTACGAGGAAGTTGTAGACTGCGATGAGGTCTCCCCTCAGCCTCCTCTTCTCCAGGCTGAACAGGCCCAGTCCCCTCAGCCGTATTTCCCAAGTCTTCAGTTAGCTTCTTGTAAGAGAGATCCCCTATTTGTGCTATGAGTAGCACCTAAACCACCATCCCATATTCTAGATCATAATTTCCCATCTGTGTATGCTGATGCCAAAAAGCTGCTGCCCCATCTCCTTCTTCAGCAGACCAAGGCCACTGTACTTATACAGTATGTGAACATGGCCAGCAGGGACTGACCCCCACACACTCTCTTCCACAAACATTTTTGAACAAGACAAGGACAAGATGGGATTTTTAGGACAGTGACAACTTAGAAATGAAAAGTGTGCACATGCAACAAACGCAGAGGAAGCTGACAGCTCTGAATTTTGCACCTTTCTACCCCTCCCCAAACACAAACTGTTCCCTGAGGAAGTAACTAAAGTTGCTGCAAACACAGAAGATTCTTTTTTTCCACCCTTCAGTAACTCTCCAGTTTATTATGATGTAGGAGGAAAGCCCCTGTATGTAGCACATTAGTGATATGGACAGAGACACAGCAGCAATTAAGACACACCAGTAGTATATTACTGGTCCTACAGCAACCTATTATGAGAAGTCACCTCCTCATCACTTGTCCTCTAAAGAAGTTTCACTGTTTTACCAGGAACAACAACAGAACAAGTTTAATAACAGAAAACAGCTTCACAAAGTGACGCTAAGCTATTTGGAGTAAAAAACCCCTGCTCTGAGCTACAGATCACAAAGGGAAAGCCCCACCACTCCACCCCCAGATGAACACTGCACAGCAAGCAACTCTGTGACGTAAGCTCAGAAAAGCACCAAAGTCAAAAGAAAGGGGTCTAGGTAGACATCCCAGAGTGTCCTACATATTTGGTCTCCCCTGAGATGGAAGAGGTGGAGACATGCAGCCCCATAGCATGGTCCTCAGCACACCAGACATTGTGATGGTTGCCATCCCCTCAGTTCCTACAGCAAAGCCCCCAGCTTGCAGGGCTGTGAAATGTACCGCTTTGCCCCTGTTGCAGTGGTAGCTTGTAAAATGGAGGCGCTCACATTGATCTGGTTCACTCGAAGTGTTGTGAGGCTTGCTTAAAGGACACTTGAAAACACTGATGGCAGCAGGGGTTAGATATGGGGAGAGAATGCTGGACAGCCACTACTCAGTCACTTAGAAAACACAATCTGGACAGGGAGAGGGATGCATCATGTGATTCTGCTCTTCAAGTCATTTTTTTTTCCTCCCAAAATTAAAACAAATATAAAACCCCTACATTTGGTCAACACTGAAACCTTTACTAGCATTATTTTCCATTTTAAAAATCATAACATTATTTTGAATTTCAGCTCCTTAATATTATTTTTCCATAATTCTTCTCTCAGAAGAAGGGGTATATAATTTCTAACTTCAGAAACAATGGATGCCACAATCCTCTATGGGATGCAAGCATCTAGTATTCCTCTGATTTCTTCTATTGTTAATTAGCAAGGCGCTAGATCTCCAGCCCACTTAAAGCATTATAACAGCACGAATTCTTCATTACTTTGACATTAAAGGAAATGTTGAGCTTTTTTACTTTATTTTTTAAATACTTTCGTCAAAGGGATAAAAATGAAAATAGGATACATAGCATTTGTGGCATTTTTAAGTAAAGTTTAAATGAAGTTATCCATAATTGGATAAGATAAAGTGATAACATAAAGTGTATGCCCTGAAAATGGGCCAGAAATTCATCTGTGCATTTTACTTGACGGTAATCACTTTCAATATTCTGTAAAGGTACCCAGGAGACGAGTAGAGATGTTTGGTAGTGAACAGTAAAACATAATCAGTCTTCAGGAAGACAGTAAAAATTACTGATCTGTGACATCTCACATGCTCAAGTCAATTAAATATGATTAATGACTACCTGGGCTGATGTGTATGTTGCTCTTTTAGTATATATACAGGGAAAAGGGACTACGGATATTTACTCACTCTCCTCCTCCATATTCATGTACAGATGTGTCCTGGAGTATAAACTTATGTTCAGAAACTCGTTTGGGGATAGGCAATGAATTGCTAAAACCCGGGAAATGATAGAAGCTTTGCAAGTTTCCTGTTGCCTAAAAATCTGCTAAGTTTTTACCAGGAAAAAAAAATAATAAAAAAATCAATAATCAAGAACAAGCATCATGCCAAACTGGCAATAGAAGGAAGCAAAGGTTTTGCCTACCTGAGCAGGTGGTGGTGGCTGTTGCACAAAGCCTTGGGGCGGCGGTGGTGGCTGCAGCACTTGCTGAGACACTGGTGGACCTGAACCTGTAAAGCCTCCTGGGGGAAGCTGTTGAGTTGGGGAAGCCATAATGTAACCCGTCTGCTGGGCAGGCTGCTGTAAGATAGGTGACGGGTAGACAGGGCCAGAAGGTGATTCAGGGTTGTCTCCTGATGATTGACGACTCAAGCTCATCTGGTTAAACTGTGTTGTCATGTCATCTCGCTGCAGGGCAAAAGCCAGTAGAAAATGGTGTAGACATGATATCTGTGGTAGACACTTATGCAAATTAGCAAAACAAAATAGATTCAAACAGAGCATGAGGGGAAAACGAATTGCTCAGCTCAAGTAAGTGCTAAACTTTGCATGAATATCTACCAAAAATGAAGGCAATTAAAATGAAAATGACTATAAAAGCTTTGACAAGACTTCTGGGCTGCAAGATGATTAGCACAAAAGCCAATTATTTTGGCTTTTACCCTCCCCACTCCCTTTTTTTTCACCCTAAATGACAGTGAACTTTACAGGATTCAGAAGATGACATTTTCAGTATAAAGGGCACAAGAATAACTTTATGATGAATACCTCTTCCCCACAGAATTCCTCAGCCAAAGACATGCTGGCAATTTCACCTGTGTTTCAAAATGATCCCAAGAGGAATTCAGTAGGATTCAGGTGCAGACCTTTTCCTTTTTGGACTGTTTTGAAAAAATCCAAGGTTGCAAACACAGAGAAGGTTAAAAAAAAAAAAAAAGCTAAGCCTTCAGTTACTATTTCAAGACTTTTTATTCAGCGTTGAAAAGAAACAAGTATTTTATTTGACTGGAGAGGAGGAAAAATCTATGGTAGGATGAACATACCAAACTAAGTCAATGGACCTAAGTCTCATTACATGCTGGTAATGACACACGAGGATTCTAGACATTATCTGTTCAGTCTTGCAAAAATATCCATACAAAATTAACCCTCAAGTTTATTTTATGGAGGTCAAAGACTTACAAATGTGGTTCTATGCATCTTCATTTGTGCCCATACTGCAAGACTTAAATATCCAACATTAAAATGTATTCTGTATAGTAATAAATTCATCATAAAACTACAGTGAGTGCTAATATGCAGACTACAGTCCCTTCTTTATTTCCTTCTCAGGGACAAGGAATATGCAATACAAAAATTACTTTTACTTAAAACACCCAATCTATTTTTAAGTGAAGCCTCTTTGATTGTGTTGACATCCCTGTGGTACTTCGCTCTCCAAAACCATTCCACACAATATACTTATGACGGGAAACTTCAAAATAGAAAAAAGGGTTTCTGCAGAGAGCACTGCAACAACCACTTGTTACACAGAGACTCACCCTTCCAGTCTGCAAAAAGATAATGTCAAACTAATTTTTAAACACTCTTAGCTAGAACTTCAGGTGACAAAAGAAAGGATCGCTATTAAATTTAGCATCACCCTACGTTTATATTCAGGCACATAAGTCATCTATTTGAAGTTGTTTCTTTAAAAACTTAGTACATGGACTACCTGGATGGCAAATGTGCAAATAAATTCAATGAGAAACTTCACTGCACCTGGAATGCCTCTGGATTTGCACAATAGAGACCAAGAACTTCAAAACTCTACAATTTAACACACTGTATGTGTAATATAATGGATAAGGACACTAGTTCAGCATTTATGAAAACAATTTCAGAAAGAAGGTGAAGCTTCACTATTAAGTTAGCCGCTAAAACTATCGGCCGAGGTATTACTACCAATTAGAACAACCTGAGATGCCTGCAGGACAAGATACTTTTCATGGGAACTAGCACTGAGATATCCAACTTGCATTCAGCAACGGTCTTTTTTTCTTGTCTTTTACTGTTCATCTACCAGGAATTAATAATACTATTCCAGCTGCAGGGATCTGTTCGGCTTTGTTTCCATCTTTTATTATAACTAGGTGACAACTCTACCTTGGAAAAAATCAGCCTTAAACAATATTACCAGCATGAGAGAGAATAACAAGAAAAACAAAACAAAAACTTGTAGCACCTCTTAAAATATCAGCTTCATTTTACAACTGTGTAAACTTAGTCCTATAAGCACTAAGCCAGATTGAAACTCCAAAAGTGTACTCTATTTTTATTATATATGAGCCATTAGTGCTTTGTCATGATACACGATAATATCACACCTTTTGCAGCTGGCTCATCAATACCCTGTTTTCCAAGTGCTCTGGTATGATCAGGGAATAAATCCAGGCAGCAGTTTTAGTATATTGATGTCCTAGAGGTCTCTTCTCCTGTATTTGTGGACATAAAATGTCTAAATCTCAAACACTCAAGTTAACAATTTAAGCTCCCTTGACAAAATGGGGAGAGACATGTTCCTAACACAGGCGCAACAGAGTATTTTCTGGAGGTTCCACTAACTGGATAGAGAACCCTTCTCCTAACTTCATTGCCCAGGCTGGATAACTAGAATCAGTGGATACACTCTTACAAAATGCTTGTCAGTATCAAAAGTGTTAAGGCAAAAAGGGATTGAGATGGGGGTCTCATTTTGGGAAGTCCCTTGTGGTCTCAAGCCCTTGAGGCTCTCAAGCACACTCATGCACACACACGCACAACTTCAAGTAAAGGAAAATACAAAAGTCTTTAGTACCACAGAAAACTGCTGTGTTGGAGAGACTGGCAGGAGATGCTGGGGAGGATAAGAAACTGCTGGATATTGGACTGACTGAGAAGATGGCTGCATGGCCTGAACAGGCTGCAAAATAAACACAGCAAAAGGCAATAAGTACAACCCACTTAGAGAGAGAGAACAGCAACAACAAACTCTGTTACTAAGAACAAAGGTCTTTCTCAAACACAGCTCTGAAAATGCAAGTGACTAATCACCAGTACAGTACAAGAGATCAGGTACTTTGATTTTAGTCCTTGATTTATCTTTTCACAAACAATTCTTTATTACGAATTTCTGCTTATTTTCTTATATTTGATGGCTGTTAGAGTAAATGAAGCCACAGCTACACCCTCTTATTACTGATGTGAAGCAAAACCAAAATTAAGATTCTACATTTAATTTTCTGAAATAAAATAGAAGAGCAACACAGTGTAAGTATGTGGATTTTGCCGATAATGACTGATTTAAGTCATTTGAGTGTGCTATAGGCAAAGGAATACTGATTGGAAAGCTGCTCTGGCAGAACACAGTAGCTAGAAAGAGAAAAACAGGTTGTAAATTAACAAGAGAGAGGTCTGTCAGCTCAAAGCACATTTCGTCCAAGCAAAAGAACAATTTTCTACAGCATTATTGCCTTGGAATAGCTTTACTACTCCTTTTATTTTAATCTATCATTTACCTTGAATCTTACACAGGTTTGCTACCAACTTCTTCTTCTAAAACTGCTGAGACCAAATCAAGACAAAAACCACAAGCATTAGTCCAAACCCAGTAAAATTGGAGCATTTCACTAAATTTAAACATTGTCTCACAGGATAAGCTGGGATGAAACTGTGCCAAATTGTAACACAAAAAGCCCTGTAGATTTTGTTTGCTCTGGGAGCAAGTAGAATATAGGATTCTTGCTGGAGTAGTTCCCTCTGCTTGCTTTGCAGTTCATGCTGAGGGAGTAGGCATGCAATCCACAAAATTAAGTTTGAGTCAGACTGAAAGGCTGCTACCCATGCTTGGCTATGTCTGGCCATGTGCCACAGACATCCAGGGGCCAAGGAGTTGAAGCACCATGGCACTGTGCCTAAACTATGCTGCTGTTCCCCACTACTGCTGTAGCTCCAGAGCTCCAGCTAGGAGTGGGGTTGTAGCCAGAGCATGGTGCAAAGACAGAAGACCATGTGTCTTTCTGTTGGGGAAAGGGTGCTTGGAGATAAGGTTACCTACAGCCCAGCCCTCATATAACTTGAAAAGGAGTTTGCAGGGTCCCAAGTTGTACCTGAATTTTTTAACACAACCCCACTGCTATTGAAAGCGACAGGGAAATGTTTGTGGCAGTTCACACCACATCAGGAGAAATCTGTAGAAGTATGAATGGCCAGAGCCGCCAAGCATGCACAGAGCTCTCAAGGATCCTTAAAGGTCCACAAAGTGGTAAACTTTGAAAAGTTGCTGTTCAAATTCTCCTCCTTCCCTTCTCACATTATCACTAATGGATTCTAGTTCTGCCCTCAGCTTGACAGACATTGCAGCTAAGAAACAGTGGTCAATACCCTACCTCAGGCATGGTGGTGATGAAAATCTCCATGCCTGTTTGGTCTGTGTAAATATTCTTGTAACCTCTACCTATATTGCATGCCGCAACTCTTATCGAGAGAGCAGAAATGCATAATGACAATAGTACTGTAAAATTTTACGCAGTACTGCTAATGGTCTACTAGCATTAGGGAGCAAATTTACCGAGAGATTTATTATTAATAGTAAAGACCTATTTACTAGTAAAAATAGTAAAAAAAACTATTTACTATTTATAGTAAAAACTAGTATAAACCTACATACCAATAAAAATAGAGGAAATGGGGAGAGTAATTAAACATTACAAAGGAGAAACCATTAATACTACACACTTTTATTTTCCAAGCCATGGAAAGTTGTCCGGCAAAGAGTCAATATAGATCTGAGCTCCCATAACTTCATTCAACTTCACAATTTGTACAGAACTACAGATTGAACTAGTCTGAAATTGAATGCTTCAACTTTCACGTACGTGGCAATTTTTCCAAAATAAATTTAAAGACTATGTAGACATATTCCAACTAGTTTAATGGTCTTTTTCAAAATGAAACCATCCTTTAGATGGAATTTTAAGAAGAATTCTTCTACTCCAGCTGTTTCATCCACATTGAATAAATATATCATGGGCCCCATTTGTCTCAAAGATATTTTGTCTAGCTGCATCCTTCCCTACCCTAATCTTTCTGTCCTTCTTCATATCCTTGAGAGCTTCACTTCTTTTTCCAATGGCCTCCACACCTACCTGTGTGACAAGGTGACTTGCCATTTGCTGCTGTGGCTGTTGAACCTGCTGAGGCTGCTGGGATGAAGGCTGCTGCTGAGACTGTCCCACCATCTGGCTCCTCATTGTCTGCTGGCTGCTGGGAGGATTGTATATTGCAGGCGTCCCATCAGGATTTACAAATGGTTGACCTGAAACAAAACAACATCAAAAAGTGATGAACACTTTTTAAAATGTTCTATTTCCTGTGTGAAAGCCCAGAAGGTTGTCTAAGTGATTACTAACTGACCTACTACAACAGTAAAGTTCTAGTTCTCTCAATGCCTCATTACAGTATTGGCCATGTTTTTATTTATTTATTTCAGGCACGGATAACAGATAACAGATTTTTGTTCAGATAACATATTATTGTTTTGGCAGTACTAATTTCCAAAGAGTGAATAAAAGGTTGCCATGACTATAAGATGATTCAGGTGCCATGATTACTTGAAGTCATTTAGCGATGAATCAGTTAATATTAAAACTGAACTCTGGAACCAGAGGATATTCATATACATTTTATTGCTGCACAACAGTAGCTAAATGTATATAGCTGCTCTTGACACACTGTACTTTATATATGTAGAAGTAAAAAAAAGACCTTGTTACTAATTTATTTACACACTGTAATAACAGTGTTATTCTCTTGAGACTGGTATCCTAAGTAATTACAGGAGGGAGCCCTGAAAGTTATCAGGGAAGAAATACTTAAGATGTCTGTGAAAATCTTTTACATACATTTCCACTACTGGCAGAAGTTGGTACGTACATAACGTATAAGTTGCTGAACTCTGCTTCAGATATTTTAGCTGGGGAAAGCAGTCCTGCAAAATTAACATCTATAAAAAAATATTTTTACCAATGTCATTGCCTTACAGAGGAAAAAAATTATTTTTGGTTTACCTCTGTAGGCAACATGTATTTGTGACCTTATAGAAGTGAAGACAAATACATAAATTATAAATTATAAATTCATAAATCAAAGGATTTATATGTTTACATGAGAAATGATAAATTTAAACCACAAAGTGATAACAATGTAGGCATCTGAAGTAGGAATGTTTCAGATAAAATGAGAGGTCTGGAGGAATCTGGTGACTCAGTAATAGTAAAATGACAAATTTCTGGTTTTTATACCACCTCTGGTAAAAGTAGTGCCTCTGCCTATTCTGTCTATTCATCAACCCCTGTCTTTTGGTTCCTTCCTCTTATTGTGGTCAGAACCATATGAGAAGAACAAGCTAAAGAAACCTTGCCTTCTCTCTCCACATTTGCTGGATTAAGTCACACTCACAATGAGAAAGGTAACAATCAAAGCAAGTAGAAGGCAAGCAGAGGTCAGTTTCCCATTAGATGGTTTCTTGCTTGTTGCTATGAAGACCCTGGGTGAAATAGCATGGAGAGAAATGTCCTGTCCTGTTTTCCTCCCTCTCAGCTTGGAAGTCTCAGGTGACAGAAGTACTTTAGGAGACTGGGGAAGGCTGCAATGATACTTACTAACAGCACAGATACCTTAAAGGAGGCTGTAGCGAGGTGGGGGTTGGTCTATTTTCCCATGTGCCTGGTGACAGGATAAGGGGGAATGGGCTAAAGTTGCACCAGGGGAGATTTAGGTTGGATATTAGGAAGAACTTCTTTACCAAAAGGGTTGTTAGGCATTGGAATGGGCTGCCCAGGGAAGTGGTTGAGTCACCATCCCTGGAGGTCTTTAAAAGATGTTTAGATGTAGAGCTTAGTGATATGGTTTAGTGGAGGACTTGTTAGTGTTAGGTCAGAGGTTGGACTCGGTGATATTGGAGGTCTCTTCCAACCTAGATGATTCTGTGATTCTGTAAAAACACATATTTACTTCCAATTGGTGTTTCCTCATGAGTTTGGGATATTCAAGCGCCACAAAATGAGATCGTGGAAATTTAGTTAAAGGTTATCTTCTCCTTAAGAATCAGCTGTGACCCTGCTGGCAAATAACATGGTGCAAAGCTGCAAAGAATAAGTACTTGTAACCAAAATGCCACTGACTGCTGTCTAAAGGGAAAAACACCATGGCAGAGGCTCATGGAGAAAATGATTCCAAAAACCACTAAGTGCCCTGCTGGAAGCCAGACTGGGTGAGCAGGGTAACAGGCTCCTGAAGCCTGTGCCAGATGCTGAAGGGAAACCATAAAGAATGTTTCACGTGGATCAGCAAATAATGACAGGACTGAAGAGAAAAAGTCCAGCAATGCTTTTACAGATGAGAAACAGACCTTTTAACAAGAATTTTTTTAAATAGAAAATGAAAAGGAGAGATCAGATTGTAACAGGGAAGGCATATTTAAGTTATGAACTGTGGCCCTGATAGGACGAAGACTGTGATGTCAATTTGAAGGAGAATGAAACATACATGCTCTTAGACTGTCAAAGAGGTCAAGTCAGATAACATGTCAAGGGGAATCCTTTAAAGAGTAAAACAGACTGGTGAGGTGGGTGAAATGCAAAGTAAAAGAACATAGCTGCATTAATGGTCTCTTTCCAAAGCAAGCCAGAACCTTCTCTATCTTGGGAAGAAGAGGGCTAAACTCAAGGAGAGGAGTTGAAGGAAACTGGATATGGAAAAGAAAGCATGGGTTACTAACACCTGAGAAGGAGCTAAGCAGTATGAGAGAAGGGAGTCTGACAACATTTCTGGGTGCCATTAGGGGCTTACACAGTCAGTGTCTATGTAGTGTGAAAGGAAGCAAAGATCTTTAAAGACACAACGTTAGGATCAAAAGAGAAGATAGGAAGTAACCACTTTCCAAAAGGAGAATAAAGAACTAAAGAATAATATTACATAAAGAAAGAAAATCTATTCATTACAGGAAACAAAGCTCTTTTTTTTTTTCATTTTCTTTAAACTGTCTTCTTTTCATCTATGTTTCTGACAGCATCCATCACTTTGATAGTCGAGCACAGCATCCAGCAATCTCTATGTCTCCTCCCCACAGAGCTTCTTTTGTAATGTTACTGTAATAAGATGCAAAGATTTTGAGCCCAAGGAGTGGCAAATTTGCGGCGTGTATTTTGCTGCATTTTAAAAACACAATAGACACTACATTATAGACTGACTTTCAGCACATGTAACAGCATGAAAGCTATACATTGAAGTTGAGAATTTCAGTCCTTAGATGGATTTGTTCCCTCCATTTTCTTCGGTATGCATATATTTACAAATGGACTACAGAAACAAAACTTACGGTTTGGAAAAAAAATAATCAAAAAATATACAACAGCACACTATTATGTGTGCACAAAACCCACTTACTCTCTGAATATTAAACATACAACACACATGGAGCTCTTGGTTATACCTCTGCAGACAATGAGGCAAGCTAAGAGGAAAGACCAGGTACTCTGGACTAGTGACAATACTAATGGGTATTATACAACACCAGATGCTTCTATCTGTATATGCCTAAGGAAAGCTTGGTTTAACAGTTTTTTGAGAGCATGTTTTTCTTAAATACTGCAACTTTCAGTTTTTCTTGACTCCACTCTAACTAAAAGAATATTTTTAGTAGTGGACTCACAGATCAGCTTTACACATTTGCATCAAGATCTCATTAACAGAGAGGTGTAATATATATGAAATACTGGTTTTAAGTAATAATCCTCAAATAAAAAGCTCTTGAATGCTCTATTAAAGACTTTGAAAAAAAATATTTTGGAGTTGAACTCTCAATTCCCAGCAGAAGGGAAAATTCAGTGCTCTGTATGCTTTGTTATTTTAAACCCAGCATAACTCATCTAAGGATGACAGCACAGCTAGTCATGGTCACTGAAATACTGCAAAAACACTGAAGAGGCATCACAGTCTCAACCTCTGTGAACCTTTTTAAGGTTCATCCGGACCAAGAAGGTAACAAATTGCCTTAAACTTTCAACAAGCACTCGGGTTCAGGCTGAGTGGTTTCTAAAGCACTTAGATGACTGTGAGTGTCTTGCTTGCGCTCTGCAGTTCTGTTAACTACCAGAACAATGCAGAACTGAGGAGATTAAAACTTTCTCTTATCACAAAACCTTCTAGTTTAAATACAATTACTAATCACATAGTTTACATAAGAAAATCAACTCCAAAGTGCTAATTCAAAAGCAGCATCTAAGCCTTTTGAAATTCTTCTAATGCTAAGCGCAATTTCTAAAACTTTGAGCATCAGACTTCATTCAGTTGCACCATATTTCAGCATGCTCGATATGGAAGAGCATCAACATTTACTAAAGGTAATGGGATCTCAGAGAATTCATAGCCAAGGAGTGCCAGGACTTCACAAGATGAAAATACTCATGCAGACCCAAGCCGGATTATGTTTCTATCATTTCCCACCAGAAAATCTTTCTAGAAACATGGAATTTGCTGAGTTCCCAGATGCCATCAGAAACACTGAAGGGCAGTACAAGGCAGGAGAGCATCGGACTGACCTGTGTGTGGGTTGAGCAGGATACTGCCAGGCGGTATCCCTGCAGCTTCAAGTGGAAGAATGATATAGCTGGTGTTGTTGGATGCCACCTGGCCACTCATCCCATTCTCAGGGTAGGACACGGTGCCTGAAGAGCTGGCCGTCACCCCAGGGACAAGAGGTGCACTTTGGAGAGGCTGATGTATTCGTGACAGAGATCCTGAGGAACCAGCGCTGCTGGAAGACTCTGAGCCTAACAGAGAGACACAACCACAGTTATGAAGTTCCCAAGTCTCCATCAGACACATCGCATACATAGGGGTAAGGCTTCACATATTGCAAAGGCAAGCATTAGTCTATGCCCAGCTGGTAGAAGTGGAGTTTTCCTCCACACTGAGCTCAGTATTCAGATGAACTTAATTCAAAAGATCCCTTTTTCCTCCAGCAAAACCTGTTCCTCCACATCTAAGAAAACAGTTTTATCAAGCAGAACACAGACCACTCAGTATGTATTTAGAATGCAAAGGTAGTGGTTCATAAAGTATAAAAGGTAAACACAGGGTTAGAAACTAAAAATGTTTTCTGCAAGGAAAAAAAAACAGCAACTGCTTTCTCAGTCAGATAACACAGTAGCTGTGCTACATGTGGCATTAACTCACAGCTACCTAACATTTCTGCAACTTTGATTTTTCAGCACCTAGATTATTTAAGCTGATTGATGAAGCTAAATCAAATGTGCTAAAATATATTTGTACCTGGAAGGATAGGGACCTGCATTCTTTTAAAACTTAATGTAATTTCCAAATTTCAGAGATTTTACTTGATCAGATTGCAATTTCTGTCCTGTAAAAATGATAAGAATCTCTGAGAACATAAGGCTCAGATGAATGGCTCCTTAATAGCAGGATGTTAAGGCAAATACATAAGAGGTATGAAAGTAAATGTCTTATACAGATGCTTCCTTCCAGATGAAAAAAATGCAACTTTTTTTGTATTTTACTTCTGTGTAACTTATATTTTTTATAACCTTCTTAGGGTCTTCCTGCAGGTATAAACTAAAAGGAAAGGCAGAATTCAGACTTCATTTTCATCAAACTTCTTACTTCAAGGCCAAAATACAGCATTTATAATGGGGATGCTACAGAAGGATCCAGCAGTCAACTACTTGGATTCAATTCTTAATCAAATCCATATTGGAATTAATTTCTTTCCTCATAATTAGAGCAAAACAGGTTTCCTCTGAAGAAATCACACCAGTATCCCATTATCTAAAATATACAGTGTCTTTCCGCAGATCATTATTGAATGTTGTTTAAAAGCTAATGTACATTTCAAACTTCACTTCTGTATTGTAGCTATGACAGAGATAATCCTCTTTATGAGCTGTGCACTACTTGCCATTGGTAGGACACTAAATCTGTTTCTCCAATACCTAATCAAGAAAGTCATAGTGATTTCCTATATATATATATATTTATTTCTACAAATACAATTTTTTCAAAAAATGTCTTTGTAAAAGAAGTTGGTTTAATGTTTTAGTTAATTTTTGCTCTCTGTGTAGACTGAGGCTGGAAATAGAGGGATTATTCATTCCTCCAGGGACAGTCCTATTTATTGGATGATTAAAGATTTCAGCATTTGTACTAATTGCAGAGATATTCATGGAGGTCATCTCCTCAGCAAGCTACAAGTGATATTTGGCATCTTTCTCCCAGATGTAAATGCACTTGCTGGAGTTTTATTTTCCTTCTGCGGCAGTTACCAGGTCCCTTCCTGGACTCATCTGGCAATTGTACGTGCATTTCATGTTGCTTGATGTTTTGCTTTACTTTCTCCTTATCTCTGTCATCTATTGAATTCTATGGTCTACAAAGCCACCTGGAAATTCAGGATGAGATTCCATAGCCTCCATCACTACCACATCCCTGTTATTATTTCTACATCTATAAGTAGTATCAAACCTAAGTTCACTCTTCTCTCCCCATTTTGTGCTATTTGAAGAAATGCTGTTAGGTTAAAAAAAAATAAAAATAATAATAATTAAAAAAAAAAAAACCAACGAAGCTCTGACATTCAAATTTTTCCCTTCCTTTCAGCTGGTTTTATGGCAGAATCACAGACTGATCTTTACCAACTTCTGAATGTTAGAAGCCAAAGGACTGTAATGAATTCAGATGTACTCATCAAATGGCAGACAGGAACAGTAGAACAATCACATGTTGCCTAAGATGATAGCTTCGAAATACGTGCCTTAAAAGATCAAAAATCTGCTCTATCCTGCAGCAGAAGATCAATTTTGAAAGAATGAAAACAAGGTGCAAAACTATTTCAGCAATTAACTGAATATTTTAAAAAAAAATCTCAGATGTTATTACTTCACCATTCTTGCCACCATTTATCCAGTATTATTACAATCTATGTTAACTTTTCCCAACACTACAACTTACTTCTTATCGTTTTAAGTCTAGACATATTAAGCCAAATAAACTCCAACACTGATGTTTGGAAATTACCACCAATTAATCTTGTCTTTGTAGCTCTGATTATCTGTTTTCATAGTTTCTGAATTTGGAATAAGAAATCACCACATAATGCATTCAGTACTGTAGCAAATGAAAAAGTGAACTATCTGACTTTATTCAGATTCACATTACGAAAGGTCTTACTAAATACTTCTGAAAGAAGTTTTGAGTAGTTTAGAGTTTTGCCCCCATTACACAACCCAACCTCTTTTTCCAGTATGCAATGATGGCTACTTCTGGATTCTCCTATAATTTTCTTACTGCTTCACAGCTGACATAACCACCTTCATATTCTCATCATTTCCAATTAATATAAATATATTTAAGTGTTCTGACAGATATAGCAGTTCAAAGAGCATTGAAAGAGAATGAAACAGAAAAATAACCACAGAGTCTTAATAGCTTAATTTTTAGGGGGAAAGAAGAAAGGTTCCATTCATTTTCCAGTACTTGAGCTCTAGTAAGCGATGTGATGTGGCTTGCTCTATTTTCTTTTGGTTAGTATTCAGTATCTGATGAATTTCAGCCTCTTTGCTCAGCCCATCTTGTGAGTCCATGATGAGTTTTTCCTTTCTTATCAACTGGACACAAGTTCTACCCAATATTTGCTCCAGTTGGTCAATTTTTCAGGAACAGTACAGTGCTGTTTAGAAATATTTCCTTGCTACTTTAATAAATCACTTGCATTCCTGTATATTACAACTTATTTATTTATTTATTTTTTTAAATGATAATCGTATGTGCTCACTTGAAGACAATTTTCTGCAAGCTGTGTTTCTAAAATTAAGATTGATGTTTTAGTACAGTCAGTTGGTGGGAAGTGTATGATTGGAAACAGTTGGTTCAAGATTTATTGCCCACACATCAGCACTCCTACAACTTTTTTTGGAGTTACGAGATCTATCAGGCTAATACCTGATTAAAGAAAATCATAAAGAAGCAGAAATACAGTTCCCCAAAACCCATATACAATGTTAAAATTTATAGGATATCTCATTAAAAAAAAAAGTTATTGTAATGAAATGCCTGCAGTATAATCACCTTCACCTGACAGGAGTAGCAATGAACACCTAACAGGAGAGGTTTGGATAGTGCTACAATTATTTGGAGCCACTCCAAGGAAGTTAATGATTCCTACAGATATCTATCAACACAGCTAATATCCCAAGACAGACAGCTTTTCATAAAGGGAGGTAAAGAAATATACTCCAACAGATGTGTATTCCACTTGATGGAAAATAATGCAGTAAGAGAAGCTAAATAATGCACCATTGAAAGTAAAGATTGCAGTATATCTTCCAATAATTAAGTAGATATAAAGATGCATATGTTTCTTTTGAACACATCTTGTCTTACCTCCTAATAACATGTACTAAAAGCTATTGCAATGTGCCAGAAAATAGCATGGTGGTTTATGAACTAGATTTTCCCTTCACGGATATGGTTAAAGACTGCAGAGATACATCTTTGTTAGCCATAGGGACATCATTTACTCAACCCTGGGAAGTCCATTATTCCTGCAGGAAATCCAAACTAATCAAGGTTTTGTAGGATGTCCCTACACTGTAGGAACACGATCCAGTAGTGATTTGTTAAGTTACTAAGCTGCAAAATACGGAAGTAGAAAACTTTATTTCAAATATAAGAACTGTGTTTTTAAGTGGAACAGTGCCTTCTAAACAATCAACAGGTGCATGAAAATAGTACTCAGAACCGGTATAATAGCCACACAATGGATTTCAAACAGACCCTTTTGAGAAGTTTGCAAGAATGAAGTAGCATATTTCCTTTGTTAAACACGTTTATTACCATACAGTTGAATGTAATTAAAATATAAGACTAATAGACACTGCTATACAGCATGTTCTCTGATCCGTCTTTGCCCAAGAGGAGGCAAACATCCTTCTGTGCTCAGTTTCTTTATTTCTGCTATGTAAAATCAATTACTGATTTATCAAAGTTAAGGTTAAGGGCAGAACATTTAATTCTGATGACAATATTAGAAATGATCTGGAAAGACTACACTGCTAATATTGCATCACTATATATATTCTCAAAGGCTGCTGTTAGCCGTCAAAGAAAATCCTTAAAGTCCATGCTCGAGAAACATAATTGAGACTGGATGACTGTCATTGATGTAGAATAACTTTCACATTCAAAATTGTCATTTTCCATCATTTGGCCAATGAAGAACATTCTGAGGCACTGCAGACTTCAGACAGATTTTGTTTTTACTATGCTTAGGACAGAAAAGCTTTAAATTCATTACTATGAATCATAAAGCACTTCAAAGAGTATACCAGTACTTTCTGTAGATGAAAACTAGGACAGAATTATCGTTTATTTAGCTCTGTCTTACCACAGCAGCGTACCTTGTGTTTGTAATGATACCTGGGAAATTCCATTTCAATCACTATTGTAAATAAACAAAACCCCCAAACCATGATAGAGCTTTAACTGTGTAATTATGGACTACAGAATGTCTACTGTTGCCTATGACTGGATTACAGAGTAATGAAGATCTAATGCAGAAACGTGCAAAATGAAATGTTGCTTAGTACCTCAAGTACCTCTTGGAAAACATATGCAAAAACACATGGAGGCTCTGACAGCAGTATGAATGCACTCAGCATCTTTTTTTTTTTTCTTTTTAAGTGGAGAGAGAACCCTTACAAGACATATTTCCATTATTTTTTGAAAGGTCATTTGCTTCTGTTTTAATGTCATTTAAAAACATTTCAGAGAGGATAGAAATAGCAGTTCAGATATTATTTCCTCTGACTTTCCACAGGCTGACTGACAGTTTCACTTTGTGTCCTGGCTTTAAAGATGTGTCTTTGTTTTGATATCCAACCTTGCTCTCCCCCAGACCCTTTTATTTAATTTCTTTTTTACTCTTTCTATGCCTCATCTAGCTTTCACACTGATCTTTGCTTTTAACAAGTCAACAATTGCTCTGCAAAGAACATGGAATTTTAATATCACTTACGTTATAAAAATTTATTGTAAGAGCTTTCATTTGGAAGCAATTTTGGATTTGGTGCCTATAGAGTGCAAATGCATTAAAATTGTTGGAATGCTTCAGAGATGTCTCCTTAATATATCTTCTTAAGTGCACCCTTTAATATGTTTAACACTAAGATGGTTATTTAAAGGTATTAGTCTTTTGCAACTAGATTTCTCAGCAATTCAAACTGGATTTCCCTGACATGGTGGTAAATGCTCTGCATTTCTGCAATATAATGCTGCAGAGAAGTACTTTTAACTGTTCTCTGCTGAAGGTGAACTACATAAAAAAGCATACTAGCAACCTCAGCCTCATCCCTAATTCATTTAAAGCAAATTGAATTCTGATGCAATGAAAGTTTCATGGGAGGCAAAGAAACCTGGAAGTATAAACATGGTCTACTGCATACTTTGGACTACACTGTGTAGCCTATTCATCCTTTATATGACTAAAAACAAAAATACAGGAGCACATTTTCAAAGCTACATACACACTGGTTGTGCAATGTTACGTATGCTTCTGCTCAAAAACAATCTGGAGGTGTAAAACAAAACAAAACAAAACCCTATACTGTACCATATTCAAAGACAAATTCATGTCTTAATTCCACAGAATTACACATATAAAGAAGTGAAGTAAAACTGAAGGAGAATCTTAAGGTTAAAAAAAAACAAAACAACCAACCAACCAAAAAAACCAACAACATTGGCTAAGGTCTTAAAAAGAAAGGTAAAATAAAAGCATTAAGAAACAAGCAGGCTATTCTGAAAGCTCCCAACATCTTTATGAACATCAGGGTTTGAAAGAGAAGGTTCCTGACTAGTTGGTGACTTTCCATCTGTGAAATGCACCAAAATCCGTGACTATGTTTGAGATCTTGAAGTCCAGAATGTAGTTACCAAGTCAAAGGTTTGCTCAGTTTATTATGAAAACACCATTCCTGGGCATCCTGAAGCAGAGAAAACGTATCATACCATTTGGAGAATAGGAGTGAAATCTGACTAATATATGTTTGATAAACTGGGCTTAAATTAAGTACCATCCATAAAACACTCTCAAGCTGAAAAAACACTAAGTGCTAAGTATTGATTACCACTTTCCCTGTATAATATTTATCAAGTGAACCAAATTGATAGAATTGTCTTATGGACTCATTATTTATTATGCACTTTTACACAAAAAAAAATATAATAAAGTGGCTTAATGGCATAGCTTAAAATTATTTAGATCCAGACCCTGTGACTCACTCATATGTTAATGCACCCATGAAGTTAATGCAAATAAATACAGAATTCCCACCAGGTTCATAGTCCCCTTAAATAGGGCTTTCATTTAATTGGAAACAAACAAGAAAATGGAGAGGCTACAGGACCTCTATGAATCAAGAAATTCCACTACAGCACATTGGCTCATCGGCCAACAGATCGGAAGAGGCTTTACTCCGTGGTACAGATGGTCTGTATTTTAGCACTGACAACAAAAATTTCTTGGATTTCTCATCAGATATACAACATTCTTCCCTATTCACAAAGAGTAAGATTAATAAAAAAGTAATATCTGTGCTGTTAATTTGTTTTGTTCAAAAGGACTACTACCTTTTGAGGCTACAACAATTGCAGATAGCGTTTGAATAGGTTGTGCAAATGCTCTAATCCAGGAAAATCCTACTTCACCTAGGGTTTGTACACCTACTATTGCTACTAGAATATATATAGATAGACACACATATCTGGTATGCTCAGTACAGTCACTTATCACCCATGACAAAGTGTACTGTGAACCCAATACAGTACTAGCTACCTGTTTTAGACAGTTTGCCGGTACTTTTGTTACTTGATGAGCTATCTCCTCTTGTCAGGACGGTTATGCCACCAAAACTTGCTGTCTTTGTTATGGCTGGCTTCAAATTTCGATTTGAACTGTCTGAGTCTGTGCTGCTCCATGGCCTCTGGTGGTCTGTCCACTTCAATTCATTCTCCGTACTGCTCTGCCGACTGCCAGATGCCTTCCCCGAGCTATCTCTGTTACCCCTGCAGACATCAGAAAACAGATTTATGCACACACACACACACACACCAAAAAAAAAAAAAAAAAGACAACAGGGCAGAGCCTATCTCTGGGTACTCTGCAGTGAGCCTACTGAAGAAAAAGAAATACTCTGTACTTATAGAAGCATGCATAGAAGGGGGAATTAGACCCCAATACTCATCCACCTTCAGCAACTTAACACTGTTGTAGCTCTTGTGGTAGTGGTATAAGCAGCACTTACTGCTGCTTCCCTCTTGCATATATCCCAAGAGCATTTCACTAGACAGGACTGATGAAGCAATATTACATAGGACTGACATAGCACTTCTATTGCCTGTTGATTATCTCCTCCTGCAGAAAATCCCTCACTCACTCCTTCTCTCTTCGCTGTCCATCAACTGTACAGTTTTCCTCTATAAATTCACCTGCCCTCTGGCCTGGTCTTCACATCCACCCTCTTCAATTCTTTTGCAGCTTGTCACCACTCACCTGCCTCTTCATCTGCTCTGCAAAGTGATCCAACCCCCTTCCCTAAATGTGTCCTTTTAGCTCCTAGCATGACCCCAAACTCTTCAATGCTAATGCTCCATTTAGAGATCCCATCAGTTTTGGGATCATATTCCTCCTCTATGTCCCAACTTTAAGTTGCAAAAAGCTCTAGGTAAGGACTACCTGTCCTTAAACAGCTGTAAAGCAGCCAGTGCACCATGCATGGTAACACAGCAAAAGGAGCAGAGAGCAGAAACCAGAGGAGAATTTGACTTACTTGTGATGAATAGCTTATATTGTGCTGCTAAAATGACAAAACCAGCATGCCTACTACAGCCATTATCCCAAGTGAGGCTAATAACACTGACTTTTGGAAGGCTTTTAGAAGACATTTCCCAACCCTCTGTCTTATTTCACACTCTAATACCTTGCAGGCTCAAGGTACTTTCTACAAATCAAAAGAATGAGACTGCTTCTACTCTCCACCTCCCCAGTCCCCTTCTCCTTGCAAATGTAGCTCTTGCTCTCTACTTGGAGAACCTGCCAAGCTGTGCCCTTGAGGACGTGAAGGAGCAGGGTGTCAAAGACAAAATCAGGCTGACACATTCCTTGCCTGTGATCAGAGCCTCACACCAATGTGATTTGGCAGTGTTTACCTGTTCACCTTTGCTATACCCAGACAATGGGAAAGCACAAAGAGAAACAGCACAGAAGCAACAACATTAAAAAAAATAAAAATAAAAAAGAAAAAGATTTTAAAAAGAAACTATCCTGCAGATTTAATTGGAAATAAAAAGATGTATAGTATTTACAAATTCTTTTGCATTCTTGTGCTTAAAACTTAGTATATATATAAAAAAAAAAATCGTATATTTATATTCTAGTGAAAAAACAGGGAGAGAAAATTAATGCTTCTATATCCCAGTTCTCTATTTCCTATTTGCTCCCCAAACCTGAATACATATTAGTTATTAAAAGCCTGTGCATGGACATTTTTGATGCCTCCTTACTCCTTCATGCCTAGTCCAAAACCCTCAGATCATCAAGACTAGCCTAAAGCATGGAGAATTTTTCTGCCTGTGGCCATGGGATGCATCTCCAGCTCTTTTCCTCCTTCAGTGGTCTTCTCACCTCTGCGGCTGCTGTGCAGACATGCACAGTTGACAAACACAAGTACACATCAAATAAACCTGCCTCCTTGCACCTCATAGTGAGAAATTATGTGATACAAATTATTCACACTTAGAGTGACAGACTACCACTGCTACATATGCAAACAACAATGCATAGATGAGCATAGTGATCACTCTACTTCTACCTAGCTATCCCCATGCTTGGTGAAGAACATGCTTCTGAAAGCATTTGTTACTTCTGCCTGCTCTGATTAAGATTTGTCCTGGTTTATTGGTTGATTATAGTGAACTCTGGTTGATTTAAACCTGTGGGTGCTTCTGGTGTGGGAAGCGTGTCTGCCTAAGCCCCTCAGAGGAACTCAGGTTGGGTCTTCCACTGCTCCAGCATTCTCCATGAAAATCTGGACTGATTCCTTGGGTCACGGGATGTCATTTGGGATATGGGATACATCTGAGTGTTCTCTAGGCAGAGGGAACAAGGGTTTGGATGGGAAAGGACACAAAACTTTTCAAAACACTTCTGCTCTAAATTCAATACTTCAACGAGTTTTAAGTCAGTATATTTTTATTAGAGCTTTTAATAAAACAATGAAAAGAAAAAAAGGTCAGGCTAGGCACTAGTCTGTGAAACATGCCCGAACCAAAGCAGAATGAACTTCCACCAGTCACAGTCACCACCAAATTGTGTCAGTCCAAGCAGATGACTGAACCAATGATCAGTAAAGCCAAAGGAAGTTTTGTTGTGACCTCCCCACTCAGAGAGCACAGGATCGGCAGAATAACAACTTTGTTCTCTGTGCTCCCTTTCAGACAGAAAAATGATACACCCAGACCCGTCAAGGTATCCCTTGATGAGGACACAGGTAGAATCAGAAGTGAGAGTTACTGGGAAATGTTAAATATAGTAAGCCATACAAACCTAAACAGCTGTCTTTTCTTATGGGTATCATTGCATATACTACTGTCTTCCAAGAGCCTACTGAAAAATGAAAAGAAAGATTATGGTAGCACATACAGTCATACGAATTTCTCGTATCTGTAAAATTACATTTAGTTTCGAGCATCTTCCCATTTGCCTGATTAAAAGTTAAAGAACCAAAGCTAAAATTGCCCCCCCACCCCACCCACACGCAGTCAACAGAACATAAGAAATGTCAACCAGGGAGGCTGAAGGCCATTTATTTCCCATTACCAAGCAAGGTAGTTCTCAGAAGCCAAAGAACTATATTTCTACCTCCAAAAGAAAATTAATAAAAATATCACCTAATAAGAAAAAAATACAAGCCAGCAAAATACCACATATACTTGTATGTACTTGCAAAGTCCTTTGGAAGTCTCTGCAGCTCAGATAAATGCTCAAGTTATCTGATGAAAAGAGGCAAAACACTTAAACCTATACGTACTTTCACCAGTACAGTAAATCAACAAGATTGCTCATATGCAGAGAGCTAAGTATGAGTTTAAGTGTTTCACCTGGCCACAGGCTGTAAGGCATGCAGCAAGAAAAAGCAGTGTTCTGAGGGATGCAGCAGAGGTCTCTCTCCGGATAATAGTGCTGATGGTAACACAAGTCCAAATTTCACCCTGGCCTTTTACTGATCTCCACCCGAGTGTGTATTCTCACACTGGAAAGCTGGTAATCCAGTTCACAGGTTCAAATGAAGTGAACCACATGCAGACATCAGAACTGGTCACGTTCACCTGCACACAAAAGTGTGTGACTTGATGCACATGAAACTGAGGCCTGGCTATGAAGTTCATCATTTATTCCTCAGAGGTTCCCATCTTACACTTAGCAGCACAGTAGCTAAGCTTACTGACTTGGGAACATCTTATTTTGTGTTTTCAGGGTTCCTTTGTTACAATTTTGATTTATTTTAACAAAACATTATCTCCACAGTCATGATAAAGAAGCAGCAGCTGAGGTAATATCCTTGGCTCTCAGAAGACAAAGTGGTTAGGTAGCTGTGGCCATTCTTTAAGGGACACCCCTCCTTCCACTGTAAGGACTGTTCCATCAGAAAGGCTGTTTTCTACTGTTACTGTGGAGTCATTTACCATGGTAACAGCCTTACCCACAAATGACAAAAATAAGGATGGACAAAAATAGAAATACTGTAAAAGATGATCTTCCCTTCCTCAAGCCAGTGATGATCAGTTTTAACACCTGCATAGGACAGAGTTGGGCTAGCACTGCTCCAGCACTTGCCAGTGGAATCCCCAGTATTTTGACTGAAAGCCTTATTTGCCATAAAGGCACACAGTTTCTACAATCTTCAACACAGTTATGCTTATTTATGGCTGCTACAAAGCTAACGCTTAGTATTCTGTACATCTTCATAATTAACACAGTTTCTTCTTCCCTTTGCTTTAAGTGGATTTATTATAACGAACATCCATAAGAACCACCACACAGTAATGACAAAGTAACATTTGGCTCAGATACTATCATTTCATTATTACACTGCAGGAGTAAAGCAGGTGGAATCTGGGGGCTCCTCAGCTATCACAAGCAACAAGTAAAGTCAATGCTGCCACTCGGCCCCACAGGAAAGCAGGTTAAACACCAGAAACAGAAATGTGGTGCATAAATACAATCATCCAGCTGCTGCTGCTAGAGTGGTGTTTAAAGATAAATTAAATTCTGAAGGCATTCCAGAGAGAGATTAGTCACCTGAAATAAAACATTAGATGGGCTTTTTCCTACACCACCACCACAACCACTTTTTAAACTGAAAGGCAAAGTGTTGGAAAAGCAGCACTAATACCTTTCTTATCTGCTCAAATATAGCTTTGAAAGGCAAACTCTTCCTTGCCCATACCCCCGTGCCCCACACCCCTCTTTAAGCAGAAAAACACTTCAGATAATATAGATTATGAATCTGCGCAGTGCTCTTTGCATTAAGATAAGCAGCTAAGGATACACAAAATAATAGAGAGCAACAGCTAAGCATTATTTTGTTTTTTAAAAAGCAAGCTTTTTTTTTTTTTTTTTTTTTTTTTTTTTTTTTTTTTACCTGTTTTCCACAAAAAGGTTTTCCTGGGAGCAAACTGACTGAAAAATAAAAAAGGCATTGTATCAGACGTTCTAGATATGCTCTGCTGTTCCAATTCCTTCCTTGATTTTAGAATTTTCTCCCCTGTTCAGGCTTAAGGGGATTTCAATTCATGCATCACTTGCATTTGCAGAAGACAAGAGGGGAAAAAAGGTCAAAAATAAGGTCAGGCCAGTAAAATAAATTTCATGCATTACAACACATTGCCAATAAGGGGTCTCAGTTTGGAAACAAACTGAAACTTCTCAGTCCTGGGATCAGAAGAAGGCAGTATGTGCAAAATACTGGCGATTCAAAGGGAAAACATATTTTTCCTAAATAATATAAGGTTCCACTAGTCTGCCCTACCAGACATAAGGTTACAGAATAGCACAGAGCTGCAGGTAGGGAGGACAAACAGGAGGAGAGCATGCAAAATCGACAAAGTTCTTCAAAGAGAGAGAATATGCTGCAGTACCTAGAAATACTAAGTGTTTCACTTGGAGAGGAAACAGCCATACCCACATTGAGATATAAAACAATGATAATGATATTCACAATAATATTAACATCAATAACAACATCTATTTTAAAAGGTTATCTGATGGAGGACTTAGATCCCAAGAAAGGTGAAGGGCTCAGAAGAAATAAATGCTATTGGCAAGTGTGTAATTCTTTTGGGGTTACTTTTTTTTTTTTTTTTTTTTTTTTCCTGCAGAGAAATGAAGCTGCGCTCAAATTTGCTTGAATAATTCTCCCTCTTTGATTTTTTCATTTCCCCCCCACTTCATGTTCTCTACACAACGTGCCTCATAGCTGTCACATGGATTATATATCCATGAGGTACAGAAGAAAGGACAGTCAGTACGTGCAAAGAATTTAAATGAAAAGCAAAGGGTGGAGGGCAACACAGATGACACCCATCCCTTCCAAAACAGTGGAACTCAGCTCAGAGAATAACGGAATGGCATCATTAGACATCTCAAATCTTAATTCTATAGGAAATGCATGGATTTGGGATGTTCCTGTTTCAAGACTGGTCAGCTAATTACCTACTCAAAGAGCCCTGGCTAACACCAGAACCAACACCATACTTGCTCCCAAGGCCTCAGCAAACAGATTGGCAAAGTTTTCCCTTGGTATAAGCCAGCACCACAGCCAGTGCCATTGCATCAATACACCCAAGGAAAGAATTCAGCCCTGAGAAAGCAGCACAGTTTCTTGTTAGCACTGTAATTTGTCCACCCATCACCTGTGTGGGGAATGCTATCTGCAGGAGACAGCTCCATGGTGTAGGGGCTTCCCAGGTAAGCTCCTACCTCTCACTCCAGCTGGAAGTGAGGAATTCCAGAGGAAACATCAACACACAGGTCTCTAGGCTATATTGGTGGCAAATGTGTGTCTCATTAGCACAAAGCCTCAGAACGTCAGGGTCACAGTCTCCATTGCCAGGGACCAATTTCCAACTGCCTACAGTAGACCTACGGTTTCACCCCAAGATGAGAGAAGACACAAACTGTTCCACCTAGTATGTTTTTGCACAGCTATAACACAGCATCTTCTCCCATTTTGTGTACCTTATTCATGAACAATGTGACTATGCAGACTTCTGCACAAACTACATACAAGCCTACTGAAATTACCCTATGGGCTTGTATAACCTCAGCTGTGGGACTGTCTTCTCTTTGAGGTTCACAATGGGCACTTGTGCAGTAACTTCAGTGCAGTCACACACCCAAAGTAGCCTTACAGCTGCTCTTGCAGATCAAGTGAGTAAAAACCTAAAACCTCAGCTTCAACCAGAGTACTGGTCAGCATCCCCACCAAGTTACAGAAGCAAAGGGGCACGTACCTGCCTGCAAAAGTAGTATTTTTTAATTATTATTATCATTTTACCTTTTAGGTTTTCCAATACATGGGCATAAAGCAGAATTCATATGAGATTTTTATAATTTATTAAGCAAGCAGAGAGGTTTTCTCCCTTTACAGTGTCTTGATGGGAACCATTACAAATTGCATTATAGACCTATGGACAGATTCTGTAATTACTTCATTTGTCTTCCTGGCTGAAGATGCTGGCACAGGGTCACCAATCCTTGGAAACTATTTTGCAGTACGGGCATGAGCCTAAGAAGACAGGCAGGATTTTTTTTGTTGTTGTTGTTTGCTTGTTGTTGTTGTTGTTGTTTTTATTATTATTATGTTGTTGTTGTTGTTGTTATTCATAGTGTTAAAAAATCACATGGTTAAGCAGCTCTGGATAGCAATTTAGCTACTACAAGATCACGACTGGCTTTTCTGATATACAGCAACAGTAACCTTCCTAGTGCTTTAAACTGAACATTAAGTACACAGCACAGCTATTGTCAAAAATATTTTTAACACTTGGTTCTCATACACTGATCAAAGATACTGACAACAAATCTACAAAAGGAAAAAAAGATATGCAAGATTATTTACAAATTCACCTCCTCGAGGGCCTCTACATGCCAGATTTCTATTGGGGTTCTTTGTATGACTAATTGTCATTTATGAAACTAGTCTTTTACTCTTCAATTTCCCAGAACCTTTTCAAGTCTCAATGTGCATCAGCCTTGCCAGTGCACTAAGCATACTGGGGGTTGCTGTTCTTGTTTTTAATTGCATTAGCCAAGATAACTATTAACATGCAGCAATATCCTGCATTGGATACCATCAGATAACCATCTGCATGTCAGTTAACAAGACGTGATAGATCTCAGGCTTCCAACTAATGTTTATTGCCTGATCTGCAACAACAAAGGCAGGCTCTGTACAGCAGTCTTAATACCTATTGGCTTATGGTAGCCAACACAAGGTATGTCTTTGTTTTGGCTTTATTTTAAAAGCTCTTCTTCCTATTATAATGATAGGACAGGGTGTAGCCAGCTTTTCATACTTTATTCTGTGACTCTTGAATCAGAGAGCAAAAATATCCTCAATGTTTTCTTAAGCAAAGGAATCATGACTTGATTTATCTAAAGGATCTGTCTCTTCATAATACACTACTTAGTCAAAAACAGCCATTACAACAAACAAACAAAAATAAAAAGTGTGATGTATTTCATTTAATAAGTTCCATGTGTACCATGGGCAATTCTAGCATTTGTGTAATTAATAAAGCATCTACATTTTTCAGTGAATAAACAATAATTACTAGAGAATGCATTTATGAACAATGGATGTGATTTATGTGATTCTGGCTCATGAGGTTATACATTGCATTAACCTCAAATAATGAAATTTCCCTTAAGTAATTTGATTGCTAGTCTTTAGAATCAATTTTCTGCATGCTTAAAAGCCAAATGCACTATACCATTTACACACACATTTGAGATTCTCATTTAAATCTAATATTTGGATTGATGCATACAGAAAGAACAACATATACATTTTTATTCTTTTAGATTGTTCAAGGGTGGGGGAGGCAATTAGTTTTTCAATGTACTAAAAACAACTGAAGCAGTTCAGATGAGAAACTTCTTTTCAAGACCCAGATGCTCCAGGTTCTCTGTTCCAGTGTACTTTTTTGTAAAATTCACAAGGTGTCGTAAAGCTAGGTTTCCAATAAAGTAAGTTTTATGAAAGGATGATTGTAGGCTTTACAATAGAATGACAGAGCTCACACAGTGCTGCTTTATTGTTAGCAGGCTGAAAAGTTTAGGAAGTACATGCTTTGCAGTTCTTATTTCAGTGAGCTTAAGTGATCAAATGCATTAAATATTTGTTCATCGACCCTTATATTTTGATCTTCATTAATCCTTTATTCACCAATCCTTTCATTAAAATAATTCATTAACATGCTTTTCTCTCAGTCCCTGCCACCTGCTATGACTCTACACGACAGGAGTCATTAAAACCTCCAGCTCCCCTTATCAAAATTAATGATAGCCAACACAGCAGATGGAAAACTTGACAGAGAGTGTAATTTAAACTGACTAATATCAGACTAATCATCATAAGGGCTGTCATAATGATGGCATTATTCATGAACATATTTATTTTGTTAAAACTTCCACTTGGAGATGAAGATGTCTGGTGCACTAGAGTGCTGCAAAAATAAAATAATCAAAAGAAGGGCAAGCAAGCTTTCTGTTAACCAACATGTGAGGGCCACGTTAAGACATTTTTCACAGCACTAGTAACATGCACAGAATTTTTTTCCCCTGTAACTGGGCTGCCTTTTTCTCCTAAATTTTGTTCTAAATTCTGATTCTTGGTCTGATAGGTTGCCCAGAGTTTGGGATACTTGAGGCATATTTAGAGTAATGCTAGATGAAAGAAGTTATGGCAGTATTCTTGACCTTCATTGCTGCCCTTTGGAGACTTCTCATGCAAACCTTCTTCATGCATACTCTAATTAGAAGTGAAATATCTGTAATCCACTTTCTAAGGTTCATAAGCAAGGCACTAATAAAAGCTTGACTACAGGAGTGTGAATAGCATAGAGATAATAAGAATACTGTATGACTAATCGTTCCCTGTCTCTCTTTCTGTGTCTGTAATTTGCAAGATGACAAGACTTACATGCTTAGGCACCTACCTCAGAGAAACGTGGGGAAATAACAATCACAAAATTCTCTAAAACTATGAAGTCCTACATGCAGCAAGTGGCTACCTATGATATGAAGCCCCTCTTAAAATTGACCAAAAAATTATATTGTTCACTACTACAACACCTTGACATCACCCTAGAAACACCTCATCTGCGAGGAGTGTTCCACCCAAAAAAATCTCAGCTAAGAAACAAATTCCTATTCATATTATTAGTACTGAATTAGTGCTGAAATTCACTGCAACATGATGTATTCCTGGCTCACTAGCACCTGCAACAGCAGAGAGAGAGAGAGAGAGAATGAATGGATATGAGAGAGAGAGGGAGAGATATCTACATTGCTGATCTTTAAAAAAGCTCACTCCCAATCCATTTAAGATGCCTACCACAAACCACACTGTCACTTGCTACTTGGAGATGCTAACCCAAAAGATCACACCAACCTCCAGCTGTGGGCAACTACAAGCTCACCACTTGCCTGCCCTCAAAAGTTCACAAGTCTAAAGATAAAAACAGCAGCACATTGGGGAATGAGTTTCAGCACACTTCTCCAGCCACTTCAGTTTCCCAGCCTGGCATTTCTAGCTGCTGCTTGTGATATAAATGACTTTTTTTGGATACAACTTTCCATGTGGTATTTTTAATGATGTTTTGCCTCATTTGCAGTCTGCTTCAACCCTCCCCCTCCTTTTTTTTTTTTTTTTTTTTTTTTTTAAATATTTTTGGTTTTGCAAAAGCTCCTTTGTTATAAGCCATAAACTGCAACTTTCATATAGGAAACAGGTTGCAAAAAGAGGATCAAGAATGACTCAGCAACTCTATTGTATATATTATGACAACAGTTACATCAGACCCACATGCTGAAAGCATAATGCAAACTGAAGGACTTCTGCTTTTACTGGGACTTTCACAGTTAAGAAAGAAAAAGCCAGCCTACAAACATTCAGCAAACTACTTATAAACAAGCAAAATTACTTATCACAAATGAGACAACACACCTTAAAACTATAGAATGTATTCTGATACAGCACAAATAATTCAGATGTGTGAAACTCCAAAACCAGAGCAATATAAAAGGACACCTTAAAGAGGTATTAGTCCTGCAACTTATGAACAGATTTAATTTAAAAGGACACTGCCAAATATGATTCAGTAAGTTTTAATTAATTTTGTTCCCACCTTCCTCTAAGTGAAAGAGCTTCCACTGAGATGTGAGATAAAACAATAAAATGTTAACTTCCCCCACTTCTTTCTTCTCTCCCCTTTTAGGATCCTTTCATTACAGTAGTACAGCAAATTACATTTTTCTTTTTTTTCAGAAACATGAGGTAGAGCTCACAGATGTTTCTTATTTAAATGTTTTCATGTAGCTTTGTTGTGAAAGTTCTCATTTTTTTGGTAACACAGGAATTACAATGCCATTTCCTTTTTATTTCTTTCACAGTAAAATCATCAACAACAACTCTTTCTGGTGGCAGAAATAGTTGGTCATTTTTTAAAAAAAGTGCAACTTCACATTTAACCCCTGTTTTTTCTTTGTTCTTATGTCCTCAGTCCTACAGCAGTGGCCTAAAACACATAACCATCAGGAGGCTCTGCAGAATACTGCTTGAAAAAAATTGATCTAGCTAGAGGCATATGTGATCCTACTACTTGAAATCATTGAGAGTGTCCATTTAAATCACTGCTCTTTGGTTGGCAAAAGAGAAGGAAAAAGAAAACCTTGACCACACAAACACAAACATTCAAAGAAGCAGGATAAGCACTCCTTGGACAACATGCTGGGTCTCATCTCTTCTCTCTATCCATCTCTTTGCAACTCTTATCACCATCATCTCCTCCTCCTCCAGAAAGCAAGCTCAGCACTTCTCAAGCTCCTCTAAGAGCCTCTTCTCCAGGTGCCTGTCCCTGTCATCTCCAGCTCCACAGTGCAAATCCAGTTGCAGCATTCACATTGGAGGGGGAGAATACTGTCTGACTACCAGGAAAGGTATGGCACTAAAGGGACAATGAAAACAACTACTCACATCTTGTGCAAATATTCTCTCCCTCACTCTCTGATACTCCTCTTCTCTCTCTTCAATTGATTTACTTCGTCTGTCATCTCTAAATGGAAGAATTCTGTTTTGCTGAGCAGAAAAAAAACCAGGAGGGTTATATAAGTTGAGCTGTTAAAAACTGCCATTAAGAAACTGTCAGCTGAGAATAATCAATGTTCACTCAAACAAATGAAGCATGAAAATGATAGCTTTCATTCCTACAGTGGTGCACAAAGCACCGTGTCTTGGGCTGGGCACCCAAAGCTTTCCAGGTAGATGCTGCCCGCAGAGTCAAGGGGCTGAAAGGAGGCTTTCTGCTCAATGCATGTGAACCTGCAGTCCTAAATTCAGATGTTCTCACCCCAAGCCTAAGTGCCATTGCTTTTGACTGCTACCATTTCTCATCTCTCCTAGGGGCATGAGGAGCAGGGGGGATGGCAGTACTGTGCTACCTATGGCTTTCTCAAGGAAGAAAAGAGGGACACCAGGCAATAAGAACTAAACTATAAGCCCTAAAAGAAACCCACCAAAAGCTGTCTTGACAAGGAGAAGTCCCAAATGTTTGGCATAAGACTTTTAGCCATTTCCACACCACAAGGAACATTTAACTTCAGTTTCACTGGGAAAATTGTGGTCCCTTTAGCCCCTAAATAAACCACAGTGCAGGAAATGGCTGTGTCCTGAGAGAGGGAGGGAACAGAGGAGGATCCCCAGCAAGAAAGGCTTCATTTGCAATTAGATTTCAAGCATTGCTCTTTCTCCACCCAACCAGCACCTTGTGAAATTGGTCATGCTGCTTTCCTTAGGTTGATCCCCACATTCACCACACCCTGAAAATGTCTGGGTTTTGTTTTCGAAGCCAACTGAGATGCAGCATAACTGGCAAGGCTGCTATATACAATGTAAAGACAAGGGGAAAAACAAAACAAAACAGAACAAAAAGTAAAACAAAACAAAACAAACAAAACAAAAAAGGAAAATCAGTCATTTACTGAAAACACGAAGGAGAGTGCCAATTCAGAGACTCATTGGCAAGTACCTCCAACAAATACAGCCTAAGCAAAGAAAACACACACAGTCTACTTACCTGTGAGAATTTTCTCAGAACAGCAATTCACGTCAGAACCCGTTTTGATTTTTATTTTTCTGGTTTGTTAATATATTCCACATACACAGGTTGCATGAGATCAAAACAGCACAACACTCGCTTGTGAAGGAAGCACAAATGCACGGGTATCCCTGGCACTCCCCTAGGCATCTGACTCACCTATGGCAATGTAGTGTTATAGGACAAGCAACACAGGGAGACACTTCTGCCACAGTACATGCACAACAAGCAAGTAAGTCATACAGACAAGTAAAACATGGTGAGGGCAAAGGAGAAGGGAGGGAACTAAAAGATGAAACAGATTCTTCTTTGGTCAAAACTTATTTTAGGATGGTTTAAAAAGCAACCTGGCCTCACCATCACATGTTTGTTTGGGGCTTTTTTTTTTCTCCTTTTTGGGCTACACCAGTTTATCATCGGTCCATACTGAAATCCAACTCTGAATGGGTACAACTGAAGGAGAAAGCTGTAGGGAGTGGAACAACTGCCATAGTTACGCAAGACATTTAGTAATGCAACTGACACAGCCTTTCCACACAGCCTGGAGCTTCGGCATTCTCCCCCCTGTAGGCATGCAGCAAGTCCTGTGCCAAGCAAACCACCCATGCAGACCCACATACTGCCACGGCTGAAGCAGCCACACCAGGGCTCAATGCTACCCACAGTACGTACACCAGAGGAGGCTGGGGGGATGGGATGGGAGGGCAAAAGGAGGAGGAGGAGGAGGAGGAAGAGAAGAAGAAGGAAGAGGAGGAGGTAGAGAGCAACAACAAAAGAACAACAATAACATCAGTCAGCCCACCTTCAAAAAAAAAAAAAAAAAAAAAAAAACAGAACAAAATTTCAGCAACTCTCGAACCGAGAACCAACCTGATTGTCTTCTTTATCAATACTAGAGTTAGCTCGCTTCAAGATAAATCGCTTCTGGGATTCTTCACCTTTTTCATCTTTTAAATGTTCAGAAAACCTTTGCTCTGGTCTGCCAGCAAAGTAAAACATAGCAATAAAAAAATCTTTCTTTTGGTTTTGGTTTGATCTTTATTTTCTCAGTGCTCTTTGTTTTCACAGAGGCATTCAGTGCAAAACCAGTTAACATTCATGCTCATGGTGAGATGCTGCCTATAAGCTGTCTGGGGCTGTTGCCTCACTGTTTAGTGTTATTGCTATGTATAGCTTTTGTTGCTGTTGTTACTTAGTAAGGAGCAGGAATTTCAAAGTCTTGGTCGCTGAAATATTTAGACTCCCCTCTCTGTGACTGAAGGACAGGAAAACGAATATACTGCACGTTAATTCGCTCCTTCAGTAGCTAGGATCTCTGGCAATGAGAGCTTCATGAAGAGTGCCCACCTTTACAAGTAAGGAAAAACTTGATGTAAATCTTGAGTAAAGCCTGCTTTCTCACTCCTAGCAAACAAAAACAGTAACTGGAGGGACTGATGGTATTTTGCTTAAAGAAATAATTATCTCATCATTGTTAAGTGGGGAAAATTCTCCAGAAGAGTCAGGGATCAATTATTTCACTGATTCAAACCCATCCAGACATTTATTTTTTAAGAGCCAACAAACAATACGCATTTAAAGCTTTGAGTTTCAGCCAGGAGGAGCTGTTTCACATTCTCCCATGTTCACACCTTACATAAAAAGCAAATATTAAGAAGCATCAAATGTCACCGAGCTGATCACTGCCACCCCTTGTAGCTGCTAACAGTGCTCAAGACTGTGCCATTCCTGGACCCAAACCCTCGACCTGTGAAGTCCAACTGATTTCAATAGGACAACCAGCAGCCTCAAGAAATGAAGAGCTGGAATTCATACACTATCACCCATAGATAAATCACAAACTGTTTTTAAAAAGCAGCAGTACAGTGTGTTGTGTCAGAAGGCTTTTATCAGGGAACACAAACCTTGCACTCTGCTGAAGGAGCACTTCTGCTTCTAGCAGCAGCACTCAAAGGAGATGCTTGTGCCTGAGACCTTCATAAAGCAGATACAACTATTACTGACATTAACAGTCCTGAAGAAATCAAATGTAAAATTTACAGAATTCGGTGACTTCATAAATAACTTCTAAAACTCCTCTGCAACTTTAAAATAAAAATCTTGGCTTTGTTTTATTCCAGAATGAAAAATTAAATCTGATGTGTAAGTCAGCCATCATTTTGTTGTTCTATCAGTCAGATTTGCACTTAACTAATTAGCAATGTATTTCTAATCCAAAAACAGCATGTATTCATGCCATAATTACAGTCCATTACAATTCACTCTCAGATGCACAGGAAGCATTTATAATGTACTGTTAAAAATTTAATATTAAGAGACAGCAGCTCTCCTGCCTTGTTTCCTGTAAGAATTTGAAGGACTCCAACATCTTTTCACAATTAGCATTTTGGTGACAAAGTGACAAAACATAATGGCCTCATTTCCACATATTTTGAGAATTCAACCCATCCAGTGCTAACATTTAAGATATCAATCTAAGCATGAAAGTTAGCAGGCTCTCTGAATGCCTTACTGGCCTTAGAATCACAGAACCATCTAGGTTGGAAAGGACCTTCAAGATTACCAGGTCCAACCATCAACCTGACCTACTGAGTCCCTTATTTGGCAAACCCAGAGAGGCTTGGCGCTCCTTAGTCATTAGACTGCATAGTCATTATATCATTACAGGCAGTGGTGATTGCTCATACCAGAAATACTACAAATCCCAATTAATGGACTGCTTGGTAGCTTTCCTGCCTTTGTTCCCATGAATAAGCACTGTACCTGCACAACCAGAAAAGATGCGTTACCTCAGATATTCTGCTCTGAGATCACCAGCAGAAGACTACTGTTTTTCTGGTTTTGTTGCTTAGAACATAAACAAAAATTCTGCAACTGTACTATCAGTGTAAAACATATAGTTGCAAACTATCTGCTACACATTTAACCCATTATAAATTGAGCATAATAAATACTTGGGATTTTAAAATGCAGAAAAAAAGTTTCAAACTTACCAAAATTAGAAAAAAAGCATGAGAAAACAAATTGAGTGTCTCCTCTGACTACTAGCATCTAAATAACAAGTTTTCATATCTCATATATTACTTTCATGTTTTAATCCAATTTTCATTTCTTTAACTGTTTATAAAATCTTTCCACCTGTCAGAAGATGATTAGAAGCACGAGATCAAGCCGCGATCAAGTCTAACCTAATGATCTGGTAATGTTTCTGTTAGTGAAATTGATCTATGAGCCCAGTATGTGATTGATCCCCAGTTGTGAAAAGACATTTGTTTGGGCACAGAGAGCCTGTGTATGTGCAGAGCATTAGGTAACACAGCAGGGCTACGTGAGCCCCATAAGATGACCCACCCCTCTCAGTCATCACTGCAAGTCCATGGTTACCAATTAGGCAGCAAACAGCATAACTAGCTCGATGAACAGGGATGCAAAAGCTGAGGGAAGGCTGTCAAGTGAGAACTGGGACACCACAGCAACAAGCATCTTAGGGCAAACCAACCTGCAGACCTCACCACATAAGTGCTCAATTTCAGAAAATTCAACAATCAGTTGAGACAAGTATGTGATATACAGAGTAATAATTCATGTCAAGAAGATGGCTGATATTAATAAAGAAGGGGGAGATGTGGGAGTGTGGCCATGGGGGTTGACAAGCCCAGTGGTTGGTGATAACGATGATTCGGGAGATGCCATGCCATCGGTTTGCTTGTTCTCCAGCTCTTAAGGCATGGAAGTTGCTGTGTGTTTGCTGGTTACCAGACAAAGTTGTTTGAAAAAGACTGCTATGGGGCAAAGGGTATAAGAGGGGAGCCTGTCCTCAAGATGAAAAGGCAACATGATATAATGAAGTTAGGTCATCAATAAAGAAGTAGAAAGAAGGAATGAACAGGGACAGGCTAGCAGAACAGGCACCAGGACAAGAACAGGGACATTGATCGCCTCATGAAGATAGGTTCGGCCAAACTCAGCAAACTGCTCAGAGAAGCTCGTACAGAAAGTCGCTGGAAACAGGCACAGTGGAGCTGGAAAGAAGCTCAAGCTGAGAGAAGCAGACCCATGCACACAACTGCCCCACACTGATAAGCAGTTGCGCATTATGGAGAATCATATGTCCTTAGAAACAAAGATTGTCCTGGCAACCTTACAGCTTATTCCCTTTATTAACAATCGGACAGTTTATGACCCTGAAATATGGGACCAAATTGAGGTCAAGGTGTGGGACTCTGCTACTAAAAACGACAAGGTTGCAGTGGGATTGCTCGGCAACTGGCGAGCAGTCTCTGAGGCCTTAAAGAGCCATGGGGGACCAGAGTCAGAAACGTGTGGCTTGCCAGACAGTGAGGGAGCTGTGGGTTCTTTTACTGATCCGACTGCTACACCATCGGCCCCTCCGCTGCTACAGACGCCCCCTGGTGACCTGGACGTGCCTTTTGACCCAGGCCCTATTGGCCTTGAAAAGGAGATGGATACGTTTCCCTTCGATCCGGGAAGAATAGGATACATAAGGCCCAAAGGCCGAGTTGCTTAACAATCTAAAGCGAGACATATTGTTCCCATGACTAGCCCTGGAATTCTCCAGTGTTTGTAATCAAGAGAAGGAAAGGAAAACGGAGACTGTTATATGATTTGAGAAAAATTAATGAAGTTATGGAAGATGTGGGAGCACTTCAACCAGGATATTAGCAACTCCAACTGTGCTCCCCCAGTCATGGACATTAGTAGTAATAGACTTAAAGGATTGTTTGTTAAACACTTGCCTTTTAAAACTTTGCCACGTTTATGTTTCAATTGATACCTTTTCTGATTGTACATACGTATAGGCATACTCGGGTTTAGTATGTAAAAGCAGTGTTCTGTATATTTAGAAAGTTTGATGTTAGTGTGTGTGCGTTGGTAGAGCGTAGACTCCCCACGCAGCCAGCACTGTTTACTTGCCTTTTATAAATATTACTAAATTCAGATTGAGTTGTATCTTCATTTATAACAATATCAATGGGATTTTTGTGATATGAAAGTGTACTGAGAAAATCTGAATGTATGACCAATTATACCTTACAGGCTCAGAAACCAACACACAGGGGAGGAGAAAAATGAACGGGGAAGGAAGTTTTTATTTGATACAACCTTTTGATCACCCAAATTTATTATTGCTTGACATTATTGGTGGAATAAACCATCTGTGCCCTAAAGCACAACTTCACAAAAACACAAATCACGTTAAGAGTTCATTTAGGCATTTCCTAGAAGTTGTCAGCTAACCCTCAATATCAGTTAGATGCTTGTTTTCCTGGGGAACAAGTTTCAGAGCAGAACACTGTGTATTTCTTCCTTCCCAGTAAAGTTTTCACTCAGAGAAATTGGTTCTCAGAAGAAATCACTTCTCTTTGCCTTGCATCCTCAGACAGATGCAAAATCCCTTTATCACCCCCCTCAGATCTTCCAAAAGTAAAATAAAAAAAAAGGTAGGTCTTTTCAGCAGGCAAGACCACCTCTCTTCTCTATCCTGCCTAGCAAATTATTCAGGTTGGTATCAGCAGGATACCTACAGAGAGACAACTTCGGTAGGCTCTGCAGCACCCAAACCCTTTGCCATGCAAAGATTCCCTAAATTTCCCAAGCATCTGCAATCCTCTGCAAAGTCTCCTCATGTTGCTCAAAATCTCAGGAAACCTTTTATGTTCCATTTCCTTTCACAATGAAAAAAGAGAATTGATTACAAAATAACTTTTTGGTGAATGATCAGCTTACCCAATTCCCAGACACAGTATGGAAAAGGTCTTGCTACACCTTGGATCAAGTGCATTTGCATTTCTCTTCTGGTTCAGAAGCACTTCTATATACTTTACTGAACTGCCAGGTCCAAGCTTGGGGAAAACATTCAGGTAAAATCTCAGAGCAATATTGCTCCCCATTTCTAGTTGCTGTTCTCCTTTTCTCATGCAATCATTTCAACTCTTTCAGGCTCATTTTTGTGTTCGG